TGATTATTTTCAATAGTTCTTGATTTGGTGAAATATCACATGGTTAAGATCAGAAAATTTATAATCGCTTCCGTTTTTCCTTCAATGCCACTTTGGGAAGCTATTGAATCTCTCAAGTATTCCCCCAAACTATGATCTTCACTTCTCTCCATTGGACCACGCTCTTCATTTCGAGTTTCATTTAAGAGCTCCTGCTCTATTTCATTAATAAGGCTTTAATCTGGATCCATGCCCATTAAATAGTTGTGTATGATACAACAAGCTAAAATGATATCAACTTGAGTTTTAACATCATATGTTAGTTCAGTACTGCTTCCTATGATAGGAAATCGTTTCTTCAACACACCAAAAATTCTCTCAATAACATTGCGCAATGATGCATGTCGGAGGTTGAATAACTCTCTAGGATTCTCTGGTCGGCGTGAGGCATATTCTTTTAAATAGTAGCACACACTCTATAACGCGTGATAAGTCCAGCCTTTAATGGGTACCCGGCGTCAGCAATATAAAATTTTTCTATTAAGAATAATAGTAATTAATATTGGCTTCATATAAATAAAAAATCTTAAATATGTTAGTTAATGTTAACACAAATTACCTTTAAGAAGTATTAATTTATCTCCTCGTTTTTTTAGTGCACTAGTCATAACTCTTGAGTCTGAAGCGGTACCCTCCCATCCAGGTAAAACATAGGTAAATTTCATGTCAAATGAACAAGCTGCTAACACATTTACTATTGGATAATTCTTCCTACCACGATATCTGGGTGCATCTAGATACTTTCACATGAACGTGTGTTCTATCAATTGCCCCAATGCAATTCTGAGATAAAATTATATAAAAAATTTCATGTAATAGTTTATGAAAAAAGAAAAATTGAAGTATTGAGTTAAGTACTAATCACGTTTACCTTGAAATATGGATGAAACTTATCGTTATTGAGTATTTCTGGAGGGACGTCCAATCCACTAGGTTGCTTGAGGAACTGTCCTTCTAATGAGATTATTGTTTTTAACACACTATGAAAATGATGGCTTATGGTTTCACCAGAGCGACAAAAAAAAAATGACATTGTCCGATTCCTCACATTGTGTGATATAATGTGAAGAAATTTGGCAACTTGCTCTTCAACACTTGCACGTTTTATGAGTTGAAGACCACCATCTTTTGTAAGCATCTCACAGAAATTTTGAAAAGCCTCTGGTCCCATATGAGTAATGTTACTACATTTCTCACTTACCCTAAGCTTATTCATTAGTTTATCCCGTGTTATTTGCCTTTCAATCTTTGATTGTGTAATATGTTTATCTACATAGTTTTTATGTTTTCGACGCATAAACCAATACACGGCAAGGACAGGACTAGAGTTGCAATTTGACGTCGTCTTTGTTCCCACATAAAATGGAAATGCAGTATCTCATTTTGTTGTTTGTCCATCTAAAATTGTAAAATGCAAAATAATATATTAATAACAGAAAAAAATGTAGTATCTCATTTTGTTGTTTGTCCATCTAAAATTAATGAATAATTTACAATTGTCGATAATTAAGTAAGTACTTTCTTTTGATCTTATTTGACTAATAAATGAAATCTCAAGCCAATGAGATTGTTTAGTCTGACAACCTTGGACCACATATCTAAATAAATAAATGAAAGAAAACAGGATTAATATTGTTTCCCCAAATTGCAACTATCACCACATGTATGAATAAATTCCAACTGTCTTCTTATAAAAATTTAGAGCACAAGTAGCAAATATGGATACGAAAAATAAAAGAAGGAACATTGGTTCTGACTTTCAACAGTAGGAAAGAGAGAGAGAGAGAGAGAGAAAACACAGTTTTAGCATAAATGGCATGATTCCATGACCCCAGATTACGACTAAGTTTTAGCTGTTAGTTAACTTCATTAGGATTTCCTTTTAATACATCTATATTTTATTAGGTAACTTATAACATTAAAAAAAAAAAAAAAAAAAAAAAATCGGCAACTCAGAAGCTTAAAAAAAAGAGCGTCAATCCATTGACTGAAAGTGAAAATTTCCATCTAGGGTTTCTTTAGCATGGCCAATTAGAGACAGGAAGGAATCTAAATCACAGTTATTAGAAAGCAGAATCTAGGTTTACCGAAATACTAAAAAAGGAAGATCACCACACAGCAAGAAAAAGAAAATAATCCAAAAATTAATTCAAAAACAGCAACAAAACTCTGACCTGAATGCCCAAGCTGAAGAAGAGACGAAGCCGGAGTTGGAAAAGAGGAGAAGCCAGAGCTAGAGAAGAGGAGAAACCAGAGAAACGACAGACCCGAGAGAAGAGGAGCTATAGAAGTGGCGAATCTGATTTGCCCTACTTTGTTATTGACCTAGGACTTAAATGTAATATAAATTTTGTGTATAAAATTTTGAAGGCTAATTTTGTTTTTAATGAAAATTTTACTTAAGTTGTTTCCTTTCCCCTCAAATCTTGTCAAAATGGGAGGGATTTAGTTGGAGGGATAGAATATCCCTCCAAATCCGTTCTTTTCTATCCTATTCTTTTCATCTGAACACACTAGTTACTATCATTCCCTTTCTTTTTTCTCCAAATCCCTTAATCCAAACATGCACAGGATAAACCACAGGCTCTGACCTTATCTTCACCATCTTCCTGTCATCATTAACTCTAATTGAATCTTAATAACACCTATTGATCAACCTTTTGCTCTAATAAACTTCACACCAATCTTCGACGCTGATCTTCAGGATAAACCACAGGTTTTGACCCACTATCAACTCTGATGCCAGTTATTAGGGATATTAGCTCCCTCCAACCCAGTCCGTGGTCAGCTGTTATTTAGAATTAAATTCGTCCTCCATCAGACAGCGGAAGAATCATTACATCACTTCAACATACAAACATATATGGAGATAACAATTATACATAAAAGATGCACAACATAAAATTTTACATGGTTCACCCAACTCTAAGGTTACGTCCATGGAGAGAGATTTCACCATTATGTATCAAGGAAGAAAATATACAACTAGATATTGAAACTCCACTCACTCTCTCATTTATCACACTCTTGAGGTGACATCTTTAAACTCGAAGATTACATATACTCTTCCCTCTCATCACAACAATCGCCAACCCCGTACATCTCTCATTTCTCTTTACATCAATCTCTCACACCTACTGTTATTTATAAAGTCTTCAAACCCAATTCGTTGTTAGATAAAAATTTCATTAGCCCACCTATAAAGAATTACCATAACAATCACAACTCTAAAATAGCATTTTAATACTTCACAATTTTCTTCAAAAATCTTCAGCCTCTTTCACGCCAGATGGACATGTCCAAATAACTTGGAATAGGACAACTCCTATCTTCAATCTTCTTCCAATTGGATTGATTTAAATAACTTGGACCGGTCATCTTCTCCAAAACACTACTTACACAACCAATTTGAGCCTCAAAACCCAACAAATCCTTCATCTGAAGACACTTAGTACTGTTGATGATTTGCCTAAAAAATTTTAGTGAGAAGAAAAAGTTTGCAGATGATAATTTTTCTACATGTAAATAACTTATTAAGGCGGTAAAAAGGCGTTTATTGGAAAATCAAAATCAAATTACAGGCATCATCCATAGCCAATGCTAAATGAAATTAAATTCATGTACACATGTTTTGTTTTGGTTATGTAAAACTCAACTTAATGAGATTACACTAGAAGTAAATTCATGGACATTTATTTCTTTAGTTCAAAAAATTATTTTCAGTACATATAATTAAGCGGATTTATGAGTTTCTATTCTCTTAAAATTAGGGCTGCAACCTGGGCTTGCCCAACCCAGCCCAGTCCCAACCCAGCCTCAACCCGAAGCGGGTTGGGTTGGGCCAACCCGAATTAAACTCAACATGGGTTATGATCATAACCCAGACCGAAAATTTTCTGGCGAGTTGGGTCGGGTTGACGGGTTGAGTTTTTTATTTTCATTTTTTTTTTGGAAATTTATATATAATATATTATATTATATTATATTAATATATATAAAATATTATCTATTAAAGCAAAATATTTTTAGGGCAAATCACTTCAGCCTCCCCTATCGCCTCCATCTCCATTCTCTCTGGACCCCCTCTCTCTCTCTCTTCCTCTCCCTTTCCCTCTCCCTCTCCAACTGTAAATTACAAAATCTACAAGAATCATCAGAAGTTCAAAACCTATATTTCAGTTTTATTTATCTGTCTGTAAGAATCAAAAGTTCAAAACCCACGGCATATCATTTCAAATTGTTCAAAAAATCAAAACCAGATCGGCATATCATTTCAGATTGTTCAAAAAATAAAAACCCAGATCTTTCAGTTTCCATCGCCCGCTGTTCCAGTTCGGGTTCGCCGTTCGCAAGCTTCAGCCGCTGTCTCTCAACTCTCAAGCTTACCCCCTCTCTATTTGGAAAAAAGGAATTTCATTTCCTCTTCGTCGACAAATTACAAGTTGCAGAAAGTGGGAAGATTTGTGTTGACGGATTTGGTGATATTCTCGTCTATTCGACAGAGGTCGCCGTCTCTGGAGGCTTTCCTGGTACCGGTGGAGTCGCCGCTGTCTCTCAACTCTCAAGCGGCGGAGAGAGAAAGAGAAAGAAGAGAGAGGAGAGAGAAAGGAAGAAAAAAAAAAAAAAATTGGGTTTCGGGTTGAGCCTGAACCCAACCCGAATATGCCTGTATTTTCACAAAACCCAACCCGAACATGAACCCAATTTGGGAATTTAAAACCTAATTTTCAAAATTACGGGTTGGACTTGGGTTGGGCTGGTTAGCTCGTCCAAATTGCAGCCCTACTTAAAATTTTTTTTTAATTCTAAAAATTACTCTTAAAAACTTATTCAAAAGTTATTCAAGCGGACCCTACCAAACATAAAATACACAACACAATCAGACTCGCACACTCTCACGCGCTCAAGCCCCGACACAGTACACTTGGCCAACAGCAGTAATAAGCGCGCCACTGCCACTTTTTTGTAGTGAAGTTTCTCTTCCCACATACTACTTACTTTACTCGGACAGCCGATCTAGGGTTTCTCTAGGGTTTTGAAAGACGCCATTTTTAATTCTTCTCCATAATTTAAGATTCAAACGTATATCTTCTTCGCAATTCAGGAATGGCTATGGGCATGGGAGCACAAACACCCGACATCTTCGGCGACCGTCAGTCCGGTCAGGACGTTCGCACCCAAAACGGTATTATTTTTATTCTTTCCAGAGTTTTTTTGTCATCAAATTGGCCTAACGAACCACCGTTTTTGTTACTGGGAAAATGTGCGAAACAAAAAGAAAATGAAACTTCTGAATCTGATTTCCCAACTCTCAATAATGAAGAAACTTATTTACTTATCTATTTTTTTGTTTGATTTTCGTGTGTTACGTCTCAGATTGTTCGAAAAATCTAAGTTTCAAAATTTTAACACCTTCATTTTTCGCACTCTATCTCTCTCAACAGTTGAACAATATTATGGGATTTGAGTTAGCTTAAATTTATCTGCAATATCTCACATACTGTTGCATTCACATCTGGGCTATGGTTTGTGTGGATAGTTGTGGCATGTCAAGCAGTGGCCAATATTGTCAAGTCGTCCCTTGGCCCGGTTGGATTGGATAAGGTAATCTGTGATGGTTTTAAATTATCAATATTGTTTTAAGTTTTAATGTAGGCAGCACTCATTGTTTTTGTATAACTGGAAGAATTATATGATTGGTATAAATGTTGTTATTGTTCATCAATGTTATTTAATGTGTAGCAAAATTAATGCTTCAACAAGAACTCACTCTGGGCTGGCTTTCAATTAATATTGATTTGCTATATCTAATAAAAAAGTCGATTATGATTTTTGACCTACTTTTGTATGCTAGAGAGACTTTAATTTGCTCATCTCTATTGTTTAAATGTTGCAATTTTTTTGTTCATATATTGCATCTTTATGTTGCACGGGGGATCTTTTTTGTGAGACGAGATGCAATAGCAACCACTGTGACCAGCAACAGTGGAGGAATCTGGATTTAATTAAAAATTTATATTTCAATTCACAATATGCCAACATGGAGAGCGTTATTACACCATATTCCAGTTATCTATTTGGGGGTAATGAGGTAGCAGCTTCGCTGAAGTAATACTTGATGAGAGCAACTCATCAGAAAGACTGAGACTCTTTCTCTCTCTCTCTCTCTCTCTCTCTCTCTTGCTATTGCCATAGCTTGTTGTCTAGGTTTGACAGGCATCCAGTAGGTCAATACATAAGAAAGTATCTATTATCGAGACCATATTTGGGAGAAAAAGCCCCATCTGCAACTCCTTTAGCTGACCGCAGTGCTGATCTATCTGTACCATGGGGCTGGTGATAAAGCAAAAACAGAAGTTCTGCATATGATACAAGTCTGGTTTTGTGCTTCAGATGTATACGTGCTATTGATCAGTGTTAAATTTTTAGAACAGGATTCTTGTTTATATCTAATATCTTACAAGCTTCAATATGGTGTGGTATTGCTTTATTCCTGGGCCATTTAGACAGTCTGGTTTTGTGCTTCAGATGTATACGTGCTATTGATCAGCATTAAATTTTTGGAACAGGATTTTTGTTTATATCTAATATCTTACAAGCTTCAATATGGTGCGGTATTGCTTTATTCCTGGGCCATTTAGACAGAAGATGATCTTGTTTGATTGTGTTCTACTAGATTACCTTTAACAATCAATGACTCTTGCAATCAGTTATGAAAGATTTAAAGGCTTTTGAAAGTGCTGCTGCCCGAATCTCACACTTGAAACATAGAACCAACACCAGTTAGTATTTGATATTTCACTTGATGTTGACTTGACCACATCTTTAGTTGGATAATTATCGATTTTTGTACCCGCATCCCCCTTCTGGTATTGGATACTTATCATTGGTAACTTTATGGTTCAGTTTTATGTTTTCTTTTAAGTAAATTTTTAATAATAATTGTCTTATTATGGCATTGATGATTGAAATGAAGAATGGTGGTAGGTTAATATATTATAGAAGGACAATGATCATATTTTTAACTGCAGGTATTAAAGAATTTTTTTTCTAATTCTACGTAACAGTTCTAATGTTTAATTTAATTTTCAGATGTTAGTTGATGATATTGGTGATGTCACCATTACTAATGATGGTGCTACAATACTCAAGATGTTAGAAGTTGAGCATCCGGCTGCAAAGGTAGAATGAATATGGACATATATCCAATTATTTTTCTGTAGTTGTAGAGTACATTCAGTAACTAACGTAGAAAATATTAGTTCTTCTTTTTTGGTACAAACAACAAAATTTTTATTAATTCAAAGAAATGAGAAAAGGAAGACATTGAAGTTCAAATAGGAGAAGATGGGATTTCCTTCATTGAACAGAAGTTACAGAACTAACAACTGCCAAGTAAAATAAAGCAAAATCCAGTACAAACCCCTACAAGCACCGCACGGGGTCCTCTCACTGGGGATAATAGTGCTATCTAATGGTGCTAATGCAGTATCTCCTCATTTAGACAAAAAAATATGCTCTTTCATTATTCAGTCTAGTAATCACTTGATTCTGCTTCTAAAGAGGTCACAACTTGTTCTCTTACAGTGAAAACTTTCAGTTCATGTTCATTATTGCTCCTATCTTTCTGGTGTAGGTTCTTGTGGAGCTTGCTGAGCTTCAAGATCGAGAAGTTGGTGATGGGACAACTTCAGTGGTCATTGTAGCCGCAGAGTTGCTTAAGGTACCTTGTCATTGGTGCATGATCCATCTATGTGCATTTGTTTATTTTCTTGCCATCACAGGTGGTCTTGATAAAAAAAAAAAAAATTCAATAAAGAAATAAAGGAAGAAAAAACAGAAAAGAAAAGCTTGTCTTTATTAGAAAATGCTGACATAGTAATTGTGGCTGTGGTTGTCATATTATGCAGAGAGCAAATGATCTTGTGAGAAATAAAATTCATCCAACATCTATAATCAGTGGATATAGAGTGAGTATTCTAATTATGTGATTAAATACTGATTTTGTGCTCACCAAAGTACACATATTGGTATATTTGTTGATGTAGTCTCTCTCTCTTTTGGTATTTTAGACATGAAATATACAGAATATATGGTTAAATGAAATTTGTCTTCCTTTTTCTTCTGTCATATAGTATTTACAAATTAATTGTCTTTGTTGACAGCTTGCTATGAGGGAAGCATGCAAGTATATTGAGGAAAAATTAGCAGTGAAGGTATGGTTTCATTGGTAATTAAGAAATATAAATTTTAATAATAAAGGGGAAAATTTGTCCGTAAACTTACCACATAGATTTTCTTTTTGAATCGAGTGAGACTACATAAACATAATTAACAATAGCGTTTGAACTGCATTAGCGTTCTGTGTTTACATTTTGCAACTATATTGAGTAAAAAATTAGCTGTGAAGGTATGTTTTTTGTTGGTAGTTATCATTGAAATTTTTAAAAAAAGAAAGGGGAAAATTTGTCAGTAGACTTGCTACATGGAATTTTGTTTTGAATTTTTGCAATAAAATCAACTCCAAGAAGGCTAGTGATTCTAAATAATCATAAATACCAATAGCGTTTGAACTGCAGTTTGCTTTCTGCGTTCACATTTTGTGTTTGAGCATTTCTAAATTGCATGTTTTCTTGGAGTCCAATTTCTTAGTACATTAGATTGTAGATTAGAGTCCTTAGTTTTTAAGATAATTTGGAATATGTTTCCAGGACAGTTCCACTATGCAAATAGAAAAGAACATGTTGGTGTGCCTATATTTTGTTGCATACCTTACCCGTTATATTTTATAGGGGTGGTCATGAAAAAATTGCAAAATGATCCATAAAGAAGTTCATAGATTTTCTATTTATACTTCGGGTTGACTATTTGATCCAGATAATCTCAAGGATAAGACCCATTGATTGAGCCATTTGTTCTTGACTTTTGGGCTAATCTAATGTGCTTGGAAGCCAATTATGAATTTACTCAGGTCTTCAGTTTCTTGTTTTTGTTTGAGTTAATTTTGATGACTGGGACTTTATTGATTGAGGGCACACAAATATCTATATTCAGGTTGAAAAGCTTGGAAAAGATTCTCTCATAAACTGTGCCAAGACAAGTATGTCATCAAAGTTGATAGCTGGTGATAGTGACTTCTTTGCAAACTTGGTAAGTTAATCAATTTATTTAGTGAGTTCCTTTATGTCTTCAAATTTCAGTTTCTGAGAATGAAGTGGGTCATATTATGATTCCCATATTTGTTGTGATGATTTTCATAAAGATCTCTTGTAAAATTTCGTTGCATGGCTACTCCTGAACTTTGTCTGACCACATAATATGTGTTGCTTTTTTCTTGGCCTTTTGGCTTAACATAAAATCTCCATTTCATCTGTTAAATGCGAACATCAGATAATTTTTTTTAGGTAATACCAGATCAGGTTGTAATTCTTTGAAGAATAGTTTTTTTTGTGGGTGGATGTCATATCACTGTTAGAAAAAATTAATGATTGAACTTGGAATTTGGATTTAGTTGTTTGTCTTCCATATATTTATGAGATTACTTTCTTGTTTCAGTCTATGGTTTGAAACCAATAAAAGGATGATTAAAAGATCGAAAACCTATTTTGATTATTATGCCTAAGATGTTCTTCGTGTACTTTTAAAATCTATGTGCCCTTACAGTTACATCCATCAAATGATTTGAGGTTTCAAGACAGTTGATGGAGATGTTAATTTTTGTTATCCTGCTTATTTATCTTGCAGTTCAGCTCCCTCTTAGAAGTGCTTTAATTATTCATACAATATCTGGCAGATAATTTTTTAATTTTTTATTTTATCTTCATCATCCTTGACTTTTTCCCCTGTGAATGGGGAGTAAATATGTTTTTATATATGTAACTTCTTTTACTTTGGATACTTCCATTTAAATTAAGTATATTCTTTCCTTTTTTCTCACAATAAAAGCTTCCAGTTTCCAGCTACATTCCTGATTGGTGATACTTCAGAAGAATTTTGCATGGAAGCCATTAAGCTAATTACAAAATCATATTAAATAAATCGGTGTGTTAGATGAATGGATTCCTATGCTTTTGCCAGAGTATATGTGGTTTACGATGTTTTCTCTGTTCTGCCTTTTGTCCTCTATCATTGGCTATTGAAAAAAAAAAAAAAAAAAAAAAAAAAAAGATATGAGACTGTGGATCTTATTTTTGTTTCTTTCTACAATCTTCTCATTCTCATTTCGACAACTTCTAGTTTAATGTCTTTCTTACCATCATTTTCTCTGGTCTTATTTACATATGTTCGAATAATTGATTGCAATGAAACAAGCCGGGTTTGGATATGACATCTATCCATTATTATATGAGTATTGTTATTCGATACCAATATGATAGTGATACATATGGCGACCTTGTTGAAATCTACATGCTTCATAGAATGTTTTTCTCTTTCCTTGATTTTTATATTTATTCTTTTGTTGTGGTCTTCTTCCCCACTTATATTTGCTTGATGAAGGCATGAAGTGATGTTGTTTCACCCCCTTCCCTCTCTCTCTTTCACTACACACACACTCACACTCGCAGTACTCCTTAAGAAGTTTCTTTTTGTGCTCTGTTTTGCCTTTGAAAAAAACAAATTTGTGCTCTGTTTTATGGTTCTTGGATGCTTATATGGTTGATTGACTGACTTATTCATATTTGATGTTAATTTTTAGAATATTGATATGACTTATGAGATACGAATGCTTTTACAGTAGTTTAAATTTTCAATTGTGCGCCTCACTTCACTCAACCGCATGCCTAGCCTCACTCAGGCTCATGCCTCACACTGCGCCTCGCACCTAGGCTCCTAAGGACCTCTACGTCCTGAGCCTTTAATAACACTGGTAAAACAACCATGTTAATTTACGAAATGACCCATCCACACATAATTAGCTAATGGATAAAGAATTGCCATCAATCCAATTGCATAATTAATCCTTTATTTTACTCCTTGATTATTCCTGTTTGATCTCATAAAATATTCCTTTTGATAAAATAATACATATCTGATAATATATACAAATAAAAACCATTTTATCAAAACACACCAAGTGCTTGGTTTTACCGTGATCAAACTAATCATTGTATAAATAAATATACTAGCGTAGATGCAACCTTGAGAGTATGTTCCAAAGTCAATAATTAATGGCTACCGGTCATTGGCCCTAGGGCCCACCGAATAAATCAAAGCACCCACTAAGCAAGGCAAAGGTCCATGGCTCTCTCATACTTGAGAGTCAAATCACCATAACCCTGATAAAGAGAATATTGCTATGACGGCTATTGCAATCTCCTACCTTATTGTTGATCGCGTTTAATTCTTTGCAGATAGAGAGTTCATCCTCTATTACTAAATGAGAACATATTTATGATAATGCGGTGCATCCCTGATTCATTGTGGCCTGTGCATTAACACCCATCATACACATGAATCCCGCATAGTCAAAGGGCACTTCGATCCATCTCATGAACCGATCAATACACAACATTTACCATGTGTATATAAAGCATTAAAACCACAGATTTTATTAATAAAATGTATGTTACAATCCATTCACTTGCTCTGTAAGGCGCATAATCCCAACAAAGTGTCTATGAGTTACCAACTTGACCATTGCTTTACCATACTGCTTGCTTTACTGTAGTTTCATTTGAATTATATCGTCTTCGTCTAGCTTATTTTCTAGTCATCATCCATAGTTCTCTTTTGCTGGATCAACCCACACATTGATACTCCTTACCGGCAAATACCATTGTAAAATAATGTCATGCTGAATTCAAGAAGTTAACTCACCATCTTGTTATTTGGGCATTTGGGTGCTTGATTGAAAAGATACAATCCTTGGTGCCTATTGTTTTACTTAGTTTGATCCACAACACAGTTGAGTTTTGGAACTAAATTTCTTTGGCTGCTCACACTTCCCATAACCTTAATATCACTAGAAACTCAGAGTTCCAGTCAAACTATAACTTTCATGCTCAAGTTAATCCATTCCTATCAAAGGTTTTGTTTTGTTCAGGCTTTAGTTTTATTTTGCATATCACAATGCTTTCTCTTGGTTCAAAGTCTTTTCTCCCTCTTTCAATTGAACCTCTTTGACCCCTGTGATTTGTATCTTAAGGTCGTTGATGCAGTTCAAGCAGTAAAGACTACCAATGCACGTGGGGAAATCAGATACCCAATCAAGGTGAGTTGTCTTCAAAAGTTTAACTAATCCCTTGGTAAATGATGTGCTTTTATCCGGCCCATTGTATGGAGTTATATTTCCCGAGAATGCTGTTAGTGATTCTTAACATTTTAATAACTATCCTGTCTTAGACATGACTGGTGATGAAATAGGTGGATGTTATTTGAAACAGTCTTTGCACAACAGTGATACTATGGTATTACCAACCATTTAATATTGTCTCACAAGCACATGGGGTCCAGTAAATACAAGTGTTTACTTACATGACATTTACTGCACACACACGTATGCATGTGACAATGCTGTTTGGGTAGATTACATGTGATTTAATTTGTTGGTGATACAATTTCAACAAAATGACCAGGTATCACTGTTGTATTGAAGTTTTTTCTGCATTATTGACATTTCTTTGCTATAGTTTTGTTGGAGAAGTTGGTACCCTGCAAATTTAATACAATGGTGCCACAAGTGATTTCGGTGATTAAGAATCTCAGTTGACCTGTAGTGGGCATTGTCTGGGTAATCAGGTGCCATGACTCAAGCTTGTGCATTGAGTTATACATGGTTTACGTCCAATAACATATATATATATATATGTGTGTGTGTGTGTGTGTGTGTGTGTATATATTTGTTTATTTTAATAACGAATGTAGTTTTTATTTTATTTTTATTTTGCAAATTTAAGAAGCAAGGTTATTGCAGCCTTCTATAACAATGGAAAAGTATGACTAACAGTGGGCTTGATCCCGATTCTAGTTAATTAAAGTAAGGGTAAATTACACAGACATCCCCTGAGGTTAGGTCATATTTCAGCTAGATGAAGATTTTGGTTTTAATTTTCACTTACACCCCAATCATGCGAATTGACCCTTTTACCCTCAATTTTTTAATACAAAATTTATGTAATCTTAAATGACAAAGGACTCCCTATCCCTACCCCACACCACCGCCACCATCTCTGGCTCCCGACCACATCCACCACTGCATACCCCAAACCACTGCCGAAATGGACGTCCATGGCAAAAATGTTTTTAGATTTCCATCCCCCCTCGCCCCTGGAATTGAATAAGAAATCACTACTAAATCTTATCATTCAGTAAATAAGAAAATCAACCTAATAAACAATTATTTAGCCAATTTCCATATTCACAACTACAAACCCAGTTAAAAGCACAAAACCCATACTATGATGCCATCATTTTCCCGTATCAAACAAAGTGTTAGAAAAAGGTCATAATCTGTCAGCATTTAAATTCCCAATTTAATTCTCTTAACCATTTTCTGATCGAAGGCGAAGTCGATTGCGGAAGACGACGCTGAAGAGCAAGTTGATGTTGGCGGCGGGTGTCGGATTACAACCTCTACAATGTCGCTATCAATATATCTCGGCGGTGGGACGTCGGATTACAGGCTTACAGCCTCGACGGCGTCGAAATTGGCGGTGAAAATCCGCATCTCGTGCTCCTACAGGAGGGCCGGACCCAGCCCTTGTAGCGAAACCCAGTTCATGTCCGGCGACGAACGACAGAACTGAACTGACCCAGTTCCGGCGAGCTCCTAGTGTCGGCAAAACCAAACTCAATTATGGCAAGCTCCAAGTAGCAAAACCCAGTTCACTTGATTTGGTGGTGGTTGTGGGGGGTGATGATGGATGTGGCTGTGGGTGGTGGAGCTGTGATGTGGTGGGCCGGCGGCGGCGGTCTATGGTGGGGGTGATTGATTTTGGTGATATATATATATATATATACACACACATGTGAAAACAGTGTCGTGGTGGTGGAAAAAAAAAAAAAAAAACCTAAATCGAAGAAGGAAGAAAAGGATTGAGGAGAGAGAAAAATAAGACAAATTTGGCAATTTTAGACACCAATGATCTTTGCCGCCATTCTCTTCAATTGCCCCTCTCTCTCTCTCTAAGACCCTTTTCTTGTTTGGGAAAAATTCAACAATGGCAGAGAGGTAGAGAGAGAGAGTAAGGTTCATGACAGCAGCGGGGCGGTGGTGATTGTGATGGGTAGTTTGGTCACAAAAAAAAGTCAATGTGAGGTCAAAGCGTAATATAGTCATTTAACACCTCAAAGTATTCTAATTTCATCAAAAATTAATTTTTGGGGTGTAAGTGAAATGTTAACCTACTAATTCAAATATAAGTGAAATTTAAAACCAAAATATTAATATAGGTGTAATATGACCTAACCACAGGGGGTCTAAGTGTAATTTACCCTTAAAGTAACCTCAAACCTGTAACCAAGGAACAATTTTTTTGTTTTTCATTTTAACTCACGTATATGATACAGAAGCTCTCCATCATCCTCACTCCATTCCCCATTCTCCCTTCTCTACATCTTGTTTCATTCTCTCAACTCCCCACATCTCTCTTCCTCACCCTCTCTTACTCCTATTTATTTTTCAACAAGCTCTGTTTCAATGTTTTTTCTTTTACTTATTAAGTTTTAGAGTACCAATTTTTCTTTTCATCTTTCTCCATCTTATGTTTAATTTGCTTGTTAAATTTGGGGTAATTCAGTATTTTTGGTAGTATGAGTAGAGGAGCATTTTTCTCTCACTTCTACTTCTCTTTTTTGTCTCTTATCAGGTCTATGAACATGGTAAATGAGCTATCTGGTCCAAACCAGATTCTTGCCATCTGGTCTATCTTATTTCTTTTTCTCACTCTGTTATAAATCTTTTCTTGATTTATTTGATCTCCTCTTCAAATTATAACCATCTGTTGATAATCAGAAGAAGCCCTTCAAGATCAGAATTGAACCTCATTTTCTAAGTTGAGGGGAATCTACTGGTGCTGTCTCAGTAGTCAGTGCTAAATCAGCGATGCGTGTAGAGCCCCAAAAGTATTGGGATGCTTCATCTTATGCAAAATTGTCTGCTAAGTGTACCTATGTTCTTTGGTTAGTAGATGAACTCGTTGGAAGAGCCTTTACCTCATGTTTAGGAGAATGAGTATTACGAGTTTACTGTTTTCATTGGGTAGTTATGTATTTAGGGCTGGTTTGGTGCGGAGAATTTTGAGAAATCAGTTTCGTGGATCATTTCATGGTAGTAGTATTGATCGTGGCTTTAGAGGTCAATTTGGACTTTTTGTCAGTTTTAGTGGTCTGGCTAGTATCTTTCATCATGGGAAAGACGTCGGAAGAGATTGCAGTTGTGGTCATGTAAAGGAGAAATCTGGGTTCTGGAGGTTTACCTATTGTGAGGTGAAGGTCATACAATTAATAGTTGTGATCTTGTACACTGCACCTGCAATATGTGAGTGCTTCAACTGTTTCAATTAGTTCTTCTGCCATTGATACTATTACTCTTTCCAACTAAGAGTATAGATTCTTAACTCAAAAGTCATAATGTTGTCTATAAATAAAATTGTCACTTTTACATATTCAGGTTGTATCACTTATTTTGCACCTTATAATTTCCTCTTTGGATCACTGACTCAAGGGTATCGACACAGATGATTGACGAGTCTATTCTTCCTATAACTCTCGTTCTTCTAGTACTGTTATACTTGTCGACAGTTAGTAATGTGGTATTGTTGGTATCAGTCTTGTGATATTGTTGGTAGTTGGACATTTGAATCCACTCCTCCATTAGTTTATTATCTGTTGATTTTTTCTCTATATTTCCACTTATCTTTTGTCCTTCAGTAAATTAACTGAGGTCTCAGTTTCTTAGTAGTTTATATCCTTGTGGTTTGTAAGACCTTGAAATGAAAGGGATGATTGGTAGGGGTCATGAATAGGATAATCTTTACTGCCTCGATCAAGTTCCTTCATACTGAAATGTGTCCTCATTTCATTTGTAGTATTGGCTTCCCTTTAGAGCTCCATTTCCAATGAACCAAACAGTTTTTATGAAGCCAATACAAAACCTGTTTGGCATAAAGCTATGGAAGAAGAACTTCAGGCTACTGATAGATATAATACATGGGATATTGTGCGGCTGCCCAAAGACAAGAAGATTGTGGGATGCAAATGGGTTCATGTAAGCACCTAAAACAGCAGCAACATAAACCTAAACCGTTCCTTTGCCGGGAGCCAGCTGAAACCTTCGTTACTCGTTTCAAAGTGGCAAAGAACAAATGCCGGTTGACACTACCTGAAAAGGAGTACGTGAGCATGGCCACCACTGGCCTTAACATTGAACTCAGGAAAAAGTATGATGGTATATGAATGTCCGATTTACTCCAATTATCCTAAAATGTTGTCTGTCTTCTAACCTACTGCTCGCCCTAGTTCTGCTTGCGCAAATCCAATGCCTCTGCAACAAAAACATTCATCACATCCTTAAAAAAACACCCAGCAGCTTTTAAAATCCTTCCTTCACAATCCCCCAAAACCACGCCTCTGCCGGAAATACTTGTAGCAGCCATAAATCCGGCATGTTCCTTCTTGCCGCATTGATTCTTGTCGGCCCTTCCCAAGTCCTTCATGTCAAACTGATTGGAGATAAGAAATGGAATGGAGGGTCCTAAAGTTCAAATGTAAGAGCAGGAGAATGATTTATGAATGGAGGAACACTTTCCGAAGAGGCACTTGGGTGGAAAGGGCCCGATCAAGCAAATGGAGAAGGAGCAGAATAGGCCCGTCTATCAGAACCATTAATGTTTGGGGGAAGACTTAGAGGGGAATAAACCCGAAGGAAGGGTTCTGTAGTCAAAGCCATTTCTGGAACAATGGGAGGGGTTTGGGGGTAGTCTAGAGACCGTACCAGACCTTAATGACGCACCGCTTCTTTCAGAGCGTGCTCATAACGTGTTGGTTGCACCAGAGGACGCTCCAAACAAAAAGGAAGAAAAAGACAAGTGGCGTCATTCTTTTTTAACTATAATATCTTCCTTGATCCCGCCAACATCCTTAGTTGAGGGTTCCATCCCTGAGGTCTCTCTCCAATTTAGAGTGTGAAGCTTGTCAATTAGGCAAGCACCATAGAGTGTATTTTCTCTTGAGGATGCTTTGAAGTGAACCATGTTTGATTATTCAATGATTGTCCTATGGAGGCCTAAGGAACTATCATTCTTGCTGTTTATATTGATGATGATGTTAGTTGCATTGACTTGAAGGGTATTGATGTTCTTAGAAGTTGTCACCCTTCGGTCCTTCACATGATTCACCTTGGTCGATTGATGTATTTTTTGGCACAGAGGTTGGTAGATCTAGAAAGGAGTCTCTTTGTTACAGAAGTGCGTTACAATCTTTTGAGTGAACCGGTTGGAGCTCGTATGGATCCTAAAATAACTTTGAAGAAGATACAAGCTAGTTATTTGATGACCCTGGTAGGTATATAATAATATAAGACTTGTAGGAAAGCTTATACATGTTACTGTGACCCATCCTGATATTGCTTTTGCTATGGGGGTTAGCCATATCACTTTTGCAAGAGAGGATTTTCTACTGACTTGGTCTATGTCTGGTAGGAAGGAAGGAAGGAAGGAGGAGTGAGGGAAGAGAGGAGGGATGATGCAAGCTTCCATTGTTTAGTAAGGGAGAGGAAGAGTGCAAGGATGGGAGACATCCCTTGGGGTCCACAGTTTTGCTTTGATGCAAAAGTGGGAGGAAGAAGAGAATCGAGAACAATGTTTGTTAAATATAAGCGACAAGATGTTATTAACCTCGTCTAAATGTTTTAACTTTTATATTTTGGGTATAGTGGTAAATTGATAATATTGTGGACTCCAGGGATCATCATCCATCCCTCCTCCCCTCTCTTCAATTCATTTTTCAATCTCTCCTACCAAACAGAACGTTACCCATGAATATGTTTTATGATAAGTAGGCTTTCATGTACATTGCTTTCAATCTTTAGTATTCCACGAGGGAACTAAAGGTATAGAGGTCGAATGTCAGTTTATGTGAGATAAATAATGAGAAAGAAGATTGCTACTGCTTATAGAAAGTTTGAAAATCAGTTAGGTTATATGTTTACTAAAACTGTAGGGGCTTGCCATTTTATTGATTATGTAACAAGTTAGGCATGATAGATATCTATGCTCTGGCTTGAGAGGAAGTATTAGAACTCAAGAGTGGTATTATATATTGATAAATCAGTTTGTCATTTCAGTTTTTAGTATTATGTGTTGAAAAAAAAATATTTTAGTTTTCTATCAGTAGAGGAGCCTACCCTCGTAATGGAGTATCTCTCTATTACATTTCTTTCTCTCTTATTCTTCTGTGACTCTTATCAGCCTCTTGAACAGCAAGACAAATCATTATCCTGTTGAATATTGTACAGAATCTTACTGTCTGAATAAAGTGAAATATCAAAAAGTGATTAATGACTTTTTTTCTGTCGCCAGACTGGCTGTCCTGGTGTGTGAACAATTGTCAGGGCCTTTTGATAACCATGATTTGCATAATTGTCAGTCTTTTTCTTGGTTCCCCTTCCAAAATATCCAACATCATGCCACTAAGCCAGTAGTTTGTTCTTCGGTATTAAAACCTCTTGTTCTGACTTTCCTCCTTTGTGTAATAGGGCATCAATATTCTTAAAGCACATGGAAAAAGTGCAAAAGACAGCTACTTGATGAAGGGCTATGCTCTAAATACAGGGCGTGCTGCACAAGGAATGCCAAGTAGAGTTGCCCCGGCGAGGATTGCCTGCCTTGACTTCAATCTTCAGAAGACAAAAATGCAAATGGGTGTCCAAGTCCTTGTTACTGATCCCAGGGAGCTTGAAAGAATTCGCCAAAGGTGATTATTCAATGATTCTAAATATCTTCTTGCAGAGTGAGTGTGGGTTGATTTTATGTTAAAAGATGTACATTGATTATTGATTTAAGGATGATTCCTTGGGATATATGATCTTCATAGCATGTAGGCACATTTTAGTTCACAAAGGTTCATCTAGTATATGACTACAACTCTTCGTTGTTACCACTTGGTAAACAAACTTCCTATAAAAGGCCTGCCAATTTATAAATGTTAAGAGTACTTTTATAGTATATTTTTATTCTTGGTTAGTTTGCTTGTGTTGAGAATGTATACATGTCTGATATATAACATGCAGGAAGGTGGTTCATCCAATGTGCCACCTAGGAACATGTTTCTAAATTAATTCTAACTCTATTTGTGAAAAATTAGACAATTTTTTTGCTGCTAAGTGGTGAATTTTGTTGTTCCAGGAATTTATCTATTGTTTCAGTTGGGTCTTAGTTCTACATTTTAAATATATGCTTTAGTAAGTCGAGTTCTTTGTCATAGAGTACAATGAAATCACCTTTGCTTAATGATTTGTAAGACAACGCCTTATTTGTGAGAGTCCATATGTCAAACGTGATCTGAATAGTGTGTTTCTTAAAAAAGAAGAAAAAAGGAACTGTAGAAGTAATTTCGTAGCTCTTCTTATCATTAATAAAGAAAGATGTAGAAGAACCTCAAAAGCATCACATTGAACTGTATGTCACCGGACGCATCATCAATAATCTATGTTCAGTAATGCAAATTGTATTCTGATTTAAATATTTTGTAATAAGAATTTCCTTGTGTGTGCAAAATTGTAAAATATATAATAATTTGGCTCCCTCCAATGGGGAAGGTATAAATGAGTGGTGTCTTTATCCAAATACAAAGAGCAGTAGATTTTTTGGAAAGGAGAAAAGAGAAAGCAAAGTTAACTATTTGCTTTTGATCTTAGTTTTATCATTCAAACAATGTTATTATAAAATGTTGGTTGAAATATATTTGTGATAGATAATTTTAAAAATGCAAAAAAGAAAAAAGGGGGGAAAAAACAAAGAAGACCGAACATGTAATATGTAGGCATGTTTAAGATACGCTACGCATTACTACCTCTAAACTGTTTCGTGTCATATATTATGATACCGAAACCTATCAATGCACATGTCAAATGGTTTTATATCAAGGAACTTTTTTAACTTCCTTAGAGGATGAGGATTTAAGGCGTATCAAGTAAGAGTAAGATAACCGAGCTTCCTTTTGCCTTCTTGGGTAACATGCTATGTTCCAAACTTGAGGGCAAGGGTTCAAGGCCTGGTTGAGGAACAGGATGATAAGTAAGAGTAAGATAGATATTCAGCTTCTTGGTTGGGCAAACTATTTAACTAACTCTCTCTTTTTTGACAGAGGAAGTGTTTTTATTGCATACTTTTGAAGTTCAACTCATACCCTATGCTCTTTCCTTCCTGCCAGGAGGAAAAAGGGGTTTTGAGTTGGGGGGAGCGGAAGAGTAACTTATTTAATAGTCAACTGATATTCATCGATGAAAACGTCCAAAGTTAGGATAACTTAAACTGAAAATAAAGCCAATTAATGGAAATAAAAAGACAAAGTCATCAATAACCATCAAGGTAAAAAAAATAAAAATTTACTTGGGATGGAACATGGCCATTCTGGATGGCTGGAATTGTGATACTGGACATCGAAAATTAAAATTATGATGCCACGTAGGATAGATTTTTTATTCAATATTAATGACATCCAACAAAGCAAATGTCAAAGCCTCAAGTACAGACATGGTCTAGAGAAGGAGTCAGGATAAACCCAAATATTTGATTATATTATAGAAATCGCTGAAGAATGGAAAAACTTTGGGAAAGAACTTCTCACTTCAGCTTTGGTGCCAATACTCTGGAGTATTCAGAGTTTGTATTTCTCTCCTTCCAGATGCACCATGTTGTGCAGATTTTACAGCCCTTTAAACAAGCATATTTGACTGCATGGGCCATAAATCCTCCAAATAGGTTTTCTGTGGAAGGGGCTTACCCATATCTTTTCTTAACCGAAAATATGAGCCTAGAGGTGACCAAAAACCTTCTCATCCAAGAAAGTTCATTTAAAAAAAAAATGTGAAATCCTGTAACTGCTTTACTTGATTGCTAACAGATCATGTTCATTTGTAGTCTGGGAATAAGGTCAAAACCAGATTTTCAAGGAGTCGAGTGCATAAGATTCAATCCCAAAGAATTACCTAATTACTGAGATCTAAGCCTCAAAGCTCTGTTTTTTTGTACCTTCTAAACTGGAATTGGACGTTGCATATGTAATAGGTTCACTAGGTTGTGAGCTATTCATTAAGTCATTGGACCATTATTAGTTTATTATATTGCCTTGGACTATGAATTTATTTATATGAATTCCAATAAGCTGTTATCATGCAACGTTTCCTATGAGATATGATAATTCCCGCTTGAGTAAAGCAATCATTCATGTTATGCTTATCAGTAACCATGAGTTTCTGTAGTCCTGCACTCATTGAACTTTTATATTCACAGGGAGGCTGATATGACGAAGGAGCGTATTGAAAAGCTTCTGCAAGCTGGAGCCAATGTTGTTCTTACAACTAAAGGGATTGATGATATGGCACTAAAGGCAAGTTTTTTTTTTTTCCTCGTGAATTTATTATGGTTAGGCAGGATTCTGTCCTACCATTTTCTTGATCAATATCCTGGTAGGATACTGGTTATCTGTGGGATGTTGGACATGGTTGCGCCATGGGTGATTTGGTTATTCAATATTGGTCTATGTATTGGTGTTTCATGACTGTTTTCATGACAAAGATGGTTTTGTTTCACTGATGACTTCTCACTCAAAATTCAGTACTTTGTAGAGGCTGGGGCAATTGCAGTGAGGCGTGTCCGAAAGGAAGATCTGCGCCATGTTGCTAAGGCAACTGGTGCGACTGCGGTATGTGTCTCAGTTTGTTTTCTAAATGATTTGCATGCAAAACTGTCTCATTTCTGAGTTGAGTACTATTGACATTTGATTTGCATGATGGTTTGCACAGTAACATTAGCATTTTAAAGTTATCTAATCAACAAATTGTGCTTTATTCAGATCCATGTTCCCAAAATTTTGTCCGTTCCCCAGCAAACCTGAATTATGTTGGTGTTTTTTTTTTGATAAGTAATTATGTTGGATTCAAAATAAAAAGAATTTTAGCAGGACAGAACGAAATGCAAAGCAAGAACAAGGGGAAGAATCCAATGCGAATTGTTAGGGAAAAAAAAAAATTAATTAAGGGCAATCATTCCTTGAAAATTAATGTATTCTTAGTCTTTGAGGCCAGTTTGTCCATCATTTATTTGACCTCATTTTAAAACTTCTACTGTGAGACTTAGTGCAAATATGAATTTGGGGGGCTTCTATGAAATATTTATTTCCTGAATGGAATCTTCTTTTGTAATCATTTATTACCTTTCGTCCAAATCCTCCACTCTACTTTCTATATGGCAATTTTTAAGAAGAATTTTATCTCCACATTTTGTTTGTTCATTTCTGGCTTGCCATCAAAGTAAGCTACCCCAATTGCTGATCTTATTTACATTATCGATTGCTCATCTTATTTACATTATCGAGTCTAATAGTTCTTCTGAAATATTGTTATTGCACTTGGATGGCCTGCAGGTTTCAACATTTGCTGACATGGAAGGAGATGAAACTTTTGATTCATCTCTGCTTGGATATGCAGATGAAGTTGTGGAGGAGCGAATTGCTGATGATGATGTGATTATGATAAAAGGCACCAAAACTAGTAGTGCAGTGAGTGCCCTCCCTCCCTTGCATGCTCATGGGCACTGATATTGTGTTTTATGTGTATTGAAAAGTCATTGTCAATTGTAAATATGAATTTGGATCCCAAGTCTTCCACGATACTGATTTTGTTCTGATATGACAAGGATGAATGAACAAGATCCTTGTTCATGGCTCAAGCCTCAATGTCTCAGTTATACGACATTTTTCTACTCTTCGTTCTGAGTGTAATAAATATCCATAATTAAATTTCAACATGGAAAACTAAATAATTAGACAAGTCTGCTGAATTGTATAAAAAAAATATCCTTTTTGACCATCTGCGTGGTACCCTGTAAGGTTTGAGGATTTAGTAACTCAAACAGACACATACAGACAAACAGTATTGCATATAAACTGAGTTTGACAAGCTTCTTCGGATTGTGCCTAGTGTTGTAATTGCTTCCTGTTACTCATTTGGTACTAATTCTCTATTCAGGTTTCCTTAATTCTTAGAGGTGCCAATGATTATATGCTTGACGAGATGGAAAGAGCTTTGCATGATGCTTTGTGCATTGTTAAGAGGACCCTCGAGTCTAACGTGGTATGCCCTGGTACTCATTAAATAATTGTTTGTACTTATTATTCATTGATTTTGAAGGATAAATGTTGCCCCTTCCCTTAGTTATCTTATTAGCTGCCTTCCAAAATTTCTGGCTGTATCCTGGGGAACCTGGAAATTCGAGTACATGGAGAAAGGTCTGGAATCAAGTTGTTAACAAGAGCTTTTGCATCATGTTTCTGTGTTGGCCAAATAAAGGTGGTTGGGATGTTAAACTGGGGACCATAAATTGATTGAGAAACAGAATATCAATCATGGATCAGCGTAATAATAACTTACAATGTTTGTTTCCATTCTTCCTCATCTCTGCAGTTCACTTTAGATATACACACTTATCCTGAATTGTAATCTGGTTTTGAGGTTAAAGCGATAGTTTCTTGTGCTCTAAAGGTTAGCTACATGGTACCTTCATCTTTGTAAGGTTGGAAAGGAAGATAAACCTTATGCATTAGTGATCATCCTATCATGCTTCAAATTCTTCTCTGCTGTTGAATGGGGTATCTGTTTTTGCAAAATTTTATTGTGTTTTAAGATAAAAGGTTTTTTTTAGTTTATTCAAGTTAGTAGTGTCAGGCCTTGGTTAATAAATCTTTTGTGGATTGACTTTGATTAATTATAAGATACTGCAATGAGAGTAACATCATTTTCGTTCTTGTAAAAGTTATTTCCTTTTCTCAGTCACTGCTACTGGTGGGAGAATCAAGTTACAGTTGGAAGCCATGTTGGCAATATAATTTTTTGCTTCCTCAAAACTGGGAATGCAACAAGTTATATTTAAAGGTATTGTTCTTAGTTTTCATGTGACGGGTCTAAAAAATCCCCAGAAGGGGGTTAGACTGCTTTAATTAGGGAAAATCTAATTTTTTATGGGTGTGCATCCCATTCTTTTACCTAATGTTGGGACGATCAGTGGTTGAGATAAATCTTAGATTTGACATCTACATTACAAAAATGTAAATGATATGTTCCTAGATCGGACAATGAAGTGATTGATGTGTTCCTAGATTGATGTGGCTGATTTCTTTGCTAATAGAGCGACAACTACTTTGTCTTTTTTTTTTTTTGATAAATAAAGAGTATATTAGAGAGCGTTCAAAAGGGGAACACATCCCAGCGACAACTACTTCATCATCACCTAACTGTCTCCCTTCTCTGTAAGTTGGTCTTTCAAATGTCGCTTCCATCCTCCTTGAGTTTTGTAGGAGGGCGTCAAGTTTTTGGGTCTTGGTTGGTTCTTTCGTATACTTTATATATATATATATATTTTGATCTGGCTGGAAAGATCTCCCGTCCTCCTTTTCCCTGTTTCTTAAGGTCGCATCAATAATTTTTATGGAACACCATGCATGAATAGTGTGTGAGCTTTGCAAGTTTCTGGTACAGGTGGTCGCTGGTGGTGGTGCAGTTGAAGCTGCTTTGTCTGTATATTTGGAATATCTTGCAACAACTTTGGGATCTCGAGAACAGTTGGCTATTGCAGAATTTGCTGAATCCCTCTTAATTATTCCAAAGGTTATGGAGCACAAAGTGCATGAATTTTCTTATATTCACCAAATTTTTTACTTCGGGATGATTAACATGAGAATAATATGCACCTGTTGCAGGTTCTTTCTGTGAATGCTGCAAAAGATGCGACTGAGTTGGTTGCAAAACTTCGGGCTTATCACCACACTGCACAAACCAAGGCAGATAAGCAACATCTGTCAAGGTACCGTACATTCTGCTTATAAATCTTCCTTTCCACTGTGTTCTTTTATTCCATTTGAGTATCACATTGATGATGGCTCCACAAGTCTCTCTCTACACACGTTTTTGTATGTTTTATACAATTGATCCTGTCACATGTTAGTATATGTTACATTTTAGCTGTGATAACCTGCCTAAGGTCTGGGCAATGCCGTCTTTTACTAGTGGAATTGAGACAGCCAATTAGTGGGAGTTTAAAGCAAGACATTATTATATAATGGGTATTCGGTTTTCATGTTGGATAAATTTTGGGCAATCGGATGTGGATCATTTATTTAGAAATTTGTTCTGTGTGCGTAACCTGGTTATCCCAATCATGAAGCTGGATCACTTCTGCTTTCCAAAATTACCGCCAGTTTTATGATGTAAGGATGTATTATTTCATCCAACTGAGTGATCATTATATTGAATTTATAAGAAATAGTATTTTTCTTCCTCCCATGGAAACACCCAGGTCTTTTGGCATGTGCGCTCTAATGAAAGTGTAAGCATGGGAGTCCATGTTTCATGTGTCTGGTCCTCAGTTAATATGTGGTAGTATCATGGACACTTCACCATCCTCCTGTCAGACCTGAAAGGAGACCACGAAGAAACCCCTATTCTACTAAGAAACCTCAGGAAGATTATTGCGCAAGTGACATTTTGACTGAGCCGCCAACATTGGAGGCAGAGCTTAGGGGAGTTGCATATACCTTGTAAAGTCACTTCATGGGATCCTAGGATGTTTGTCTTTGGACGCTGAAGTTAGTAATTATTGAGGAGCGCCAGTTTCGAGAGGCTGCTCTTTGACTGGATTTGAAGAGCATACTGAGGTTCACAGTTTCTCGAGATAGCCCATGCACTCCGCAAACCATGCTATTCTCTCTCTTTCTTTTTCTCGTCCCGTCACGCCTCCATAATTATATCAATATAATTTTACACTGGGCTTTAGTGTCTGACATTTCCTTATCGTCGTTACTCCATAGTTATTGACTCCACCACTCACTAGATAAACGGCACCAAGCGTACATCTAAAGAGAACAGAGGAACTACAATATTCTGATACTCTCACTCCCCCCCACTTTTTCTCTCTCCCATCTTCTTTAGGGGAAGCTTGAGGAACTGTCCCAAAAGGTTGCTTTCTTACTATCTTATATTCTCTTTGGGTCTCCCTGGACTTCCACCTAGACCGACTAGCTTGGATTCCTTTTCCATACATCTGCCATGTTGCGGGTGACACCTTCATTCTATTCAACAGCAAGAAACATCACACCCACGCTATTCTGAAAACTGCTACTGCTTTAACTAATTTAATTGTATATATTTTAAACCATGTTGTTTAACAATGTCCACTTTGCTGGTTTGTTTTTGAAAGTGATAATTTTTTTATTTAGTTTTTGATAAGTGGAAGTGATCAATTTTTCAATATGCTCAGCCCCAAAGGTTGATTTGATACAATGCCATCCTTGTTAACTATTTCATTATCTTGTGATCTCTTACAAATTCTCTCACACCCCCCCCCCCCCCCCCCCCCCCCTCTTCCTCTCTCTCTCAATATGAGGATACATTGTCTATTATTTATTTTATTCATTGTATATGTATTTTAAATTATTTTGTAGCATGGGGTTAGACCTTTCAAAGGGAACCATACGCAACAACTTAGAGGGAGGAGTCATTGAACCGGCTATGAGCAAAGTGAAGATAATACAGGTATCTTTTTTCAATGAGAAAATTTTAAATCATTTGGTAAAGTTGGCTATCTCCAAGTCTCAACTTCCCTACTAAGTTCTTTGTCCTTTGCTGGATTATCCCCTTCCAGTTTGCAACAGAAGCAGCGATAACTATTCTTCGGATTGATGACATGATAAAGCTTCTCAAAGATGAAAGCCAGAATGAGGATTAGGGTTTAGTTTATGTATCTTTCCCAGGCTGCAATTTTTGGTTGTTTCTTGACTGGTGATGACAATCATTTTTGGGGTTACAGCTATGAGAGACGAACAGATCAATTACCGGAGAAATTGATTACTTAATATTTCAAGAGAAAATGAAATATAATTTCCAGCACCTAAACACCTTGAAACTGTATTCGGGGATTGCTGGAATATATTCAGATGATAGGATGATGTGGGATAGAATTTGACTTGTGTGTTTGTTACACTTTGTACTGGGGCCATGAGAAGGGAAGTAAATTTTTGATGTGCCAAAACTTTTTTATATTCAGTTTTAACCCCTTGCTATCGTGTTGTTAGGGAGTAACTGTTCCATACGTTTGAGCGTTTCTGTGGATTAAGTTGTGAATAATCATTCAAATTATCTAAATTGTAATATGAAGTGTTTGCATTAATTCATGTCTGGAATATGAAGAGAGACATCATTGAGTTAGAGGCAGCTTAATTCAATGAACCTATTATTAGATTATTATTTTTTATACTATATTGGATTAGGGAAAACATTCCACGGTCCAAAAAGTTGCACTTACGGCCTAAATTTAGGGTGAAGATATTATTGTATTCCAATATTTTTAATTTTTGATCATAAACTCTGAACATGTTTCTAAAAACTTCCAAATTGGTCCAGACCCGTTAATTAAAATAATTTTTCTTAAAATTACAAAAATATCCTTTTACTTATCTTCTCACCGTCACAATGTTCCTTTTCCCTTTTTTAATTTTTTTGCTTTCCTTTTTAATTTTTTTTAATTAAACTGTTCTTCTTCTTCGTCTACCACTGGCAGCCATATTGCTGCCTGTAAGAAGAATTACCGGCCGACAACAACCAAGATGGTCGCCGCAGTTGCCGCCATCTGACGAGCATGCCAGAACCCAAGTCTAGTTCCTGCATGTTGCAGCAACCCGTTTGGTGACAAGAACACCGGCAAGGACTACTTATAGTCGTTGCCTTTCTTGCTATACTCCGATCACCAGGTCGCCAACGACAACCTGGTTTCCTCCTTTACCACCATGATCGCCTTCTCTATCCCAGACGTCAAAAATCAATATTCGCTGCTCAATCCTATACAGGCTATACACTAGGTCGTGTATATATAGTTTTATGTATGCTAAAACCTAATATGCATTTTGAGTTGTTAAGTTGCTATGCTTAGGAGTCGTGGACCCTGGTAGCTCCATTTCTGTTGGTTTACGAGGATTTGCTGTTCGAATTTGGTGACAATGGCATTATCGCTTCCTTTAATTTTTGCCACTATAATAACCCAAATATTCTTGATCCCTTTATGTTCAAGTTTATTCCCAATAAATTCAAGCAGTTAGGAGAAAATTTGTTTAATTTCCACAGAAATTCGGATCGACAGTAATAATTTTTTGGGTAAATTACATTCACGTCCCTCTAGTTAGCTAAAAATTCAAACAGCTTCCCTCAATTATTTAAAATATCATTTTCCTCCCCTAAAACAAACTTCCGTGAAGCTCAATTAACAGATTATGGGATTTTACTAAATTGACTTCACATTTTAGCCTATTATTTTAATATAATAATGGTAAAATTTTAATAAGACAATCTTGCACTTATAAATATATCAAAACACCTACACACGTTCTAATTGAAAAACCACCAACACATTCCATTTAAACACGTTTTCATTCTCAGAACTCTCTAAGGAACGAAGGAGAGATAGAGACGAAGACAGAGAAAGAGTGTAGTGTTCAAGCAAAGGAGAACGAAGAAAATCGAGAGCTTCCATTCGCGTTTGAGTAAGTTCTTCGAACTCGATTATGTTAATGTTTTGAAATTTGGGTTTTGCTTAGAGTTCTAGATCTTCAAACTCGTTGGGTTTGTTTTGGGTTTTAGGTCATGAAATTGGGTTTTGGTAATGTTTTGAAATTAGGTTTTGGATTTTATTTTCTGGGTTCATTTTTTTTTTTTCAAATGATGGTTATAATTATGCTTTGAAATTATGGTTTTTTTTTTTTTTTTTTTTTTTTTTTTTTTTTTTTTTTTTTTGATCTTCGAGCGGGTAGTGTTCATTTTTTTTTTTCAAATGAAGTTTCTTGTAATGTTTTGAAATTAAGGTTTTTTTCTCATTGTTTGTGTTATTGAAAATGGTGTAGCAAAATAGGATATTAATATCTTACTTGGTCTCTGATTTGTACTTGTTTTCTGAAAAATAAGTTATTGGTTATGTTAATATGTTCTTTAAGGTTTTAAAGTTAAGGTTTGTAAGATTTTGTATGTGTTTGTATTGATTAGGGTAATATTGCTCTATACTCATATGTTTATGCATTATATTATACTCTGTTGGTTATTGGCAATCTGCAAATATGGTTGAAAAGTTAGGGCTTTCTGGAATTTGGGTTTCTTTGTGTTGATAAGGCTAATTCCTTTCTTGTGTGATGTTGAAATTATGCAATTTGGCCAAGATATCCATTTTTTGGGTTTTGCAATCTCTGTTAATGTCCAAGTGTTTTTGTATTCTTTATAATTTTTTCCTTCTTCATTTTCTATTGACAGTGATGGATGCACCCATTGTTTATGACTAAGTTGTCCATTACGGTGAAAATGTCAATGTGATAGGGAATATAGATCTACAGTTACTTAGAGTTCATGGATCACGTTATGGAGCTTGCATTATCTAATGTATAAGCACAAATTGGGATATACATTAACATATATCATGACTAACCTAACAACAATGAAAGGATCTTAGTTGACAATGATCAAAAAGTTGAGGACATGTTTATGTTGAATAAGTTTAGGCAAACGATTAATGTGTGTGTTGAAACTAAGGAGCCTGTAGGAGTTGATCTTGGTTTAGCTGAGTTATTGTCAGGTCTTGCAAGTGTTTGCCCTACAGCAGGTGTTAGGCCTTCTCAACCTGTAACAAGTTTTGCTCATGTTGATGTAGAAGATGATAGAGATGAGGAAGATGAAGATGATTACCTATTTTATTTGTTTCAATTAATCATATAAAGAGGGGGGGAAAGGAATGGAAATTGGTGTCAGTGCGAACCAGCAACAGGTATACTTTCCTTTTTTTTTTTTTTCTCTCTCTCTCTCTCTCTCTCTCTCTCTCTCTCTCTCTCTCTCTCTATAGCTTATAACCTTTTATTTGGTTGAATGAAGTCAGCCACATGTTGGGGTCAATCTCATTTGGCAGCCGGTCTAATTAATTTTTATTTTTATTTTTATTTTTTTCACATATTATAATTGAATGAATCATATACAGAGAGGGAGAGGGATGGAAAATCTGAGTCAGCCAATACCAGTTCCACCAACGACATATTCTACAGGAAGGGGAGTTGACAATATGAGTCAACCACCTGCAAGGATGAATGTTAACCCAGCTGGTATAGTTTTGGAGTTTGTTATTATTGTTTTTTAAAATAGTTGTATATATATATTTTCAACTTATAACATATTTTAGTTAGATGAATCATATACAGAGAGGGAGAAGGATGGGAAGTTTGACTTAGCCAACACTTGTTCTACCAATGGCATATTCTGCAAGAAGGGGAGTTAGTAGTATGAGTCAACCACCCTGCAAGGGTGAATGTCAACCATCAACTGGTATAGTCTTGGTTGTTGTTGTTGTTGTTTTTTTTTTTTTTTTGTTTTTAAATTTTATTATATATATATATATATTCAACTTACAACGTACTTCAATTAAATTAATCATATACAGAGAGGGAAAGGAATGGAAGTTCTGAGTCAGGCAACACCAGTTCCATCAACATCTTCTGCGGGAAGGGGAGTTAACAATGTCAACGAACAACATGTATCTATTTATATTTTTTTTTTTCCTTCTTGCATTAAAAAATAACTAATCACCATTTCTATCATGCATGCATAGGTTGGAAGGGTTAACAAATTAGTAGTACAGAGAGGGAGGGGAATCAATGGAGGAACTTTTCATGGAAGGATAGTTGGCAGAGGAAGGACACATTCAATTATGGGTAGCAATGTTAGTCATGGTGCAAGCTCCTGAAGCCAAACCAATATATGACAGTTCCAGTTGCAACAATCTTTTATGTTTATAAACTTTCTAGATGAAACCTAAGTACTGATGTGTAGCTCTTAAACCTAGGTTTTCTGTGTTGTGGTACAAAAAATTGCAAATGATGTGGTACAATGTATTTTTGGGGGGATGCAAGTCACTTGGTGTTTTTTTTTTTGGTAGTGAAATGAAGTTATGTAATGACGAACCTGTTGGGTCTTTTATTTATGAAGTTATGTAATGAAAATTATGTTCACTATTAATTACGACTTTTCATTATATGTTTGGTTTTACTTCTCTTCTTGTGAATTTTTATTATTTTATGTTTTTGTTTTAACTTATAACAAGTTGATCTTCTTTTATTGAATTGTCATATGTGGCAAACTTAATTTTTGCAATTGGGGCGAGTTCAACTAAGGTGCTATCGGTAAACAAATTAAATAAGACAAATAATCAATATAAATTACCAATATATTAATTATAAAATATCTAATGCAATTCAAATCATCAAATATAGAAAATAAACAATATAATACATTAATATATATAGAGAAAACGGAGGGAAATGAAGCTGTTAGATGGGACCTGAGAAGTGGAGGGAAATGTGTGCTCCATTTTGGCATAAGCATATTGTTTGGGCAAAATGGTCTTCATATATATTTGGAGGGCAATATGGGATTTCTGTAATTTTAGATTGCTGACATCATGAATTAATTGACAGAAGTTTGTTTTAGGGTGGCAAATGATATTTTGAATAATTGAGGGGAGCTGTTTGAGCTTTTAGCTAACAAGGAGGGAGGTAAATGTAATTTATCCTAATTTTAAACTAGTGCAATAATTTTATATTATTTATGTAATAATTATCTTAAATTACTTACCCAACAACTTTACATATCTGATTCATAAATATAAAAGATGATATTAATGTAATTTACCCTCATTTTAAACTAGTGCAATAATTTTATATTATTTATGTAATAATTATCTTAAATTATTTATGCAATAACTTTACATATCTAATTCATAAATATAAAAGATGATATTAATTCTTGACATAAAACCTATGAGAATTTGGTGTTCGTAAATGTTAAAATCATTACTAAATTTTTTATTACAATTTCTTTATTTTTTTGATATAGAGCCTATAAAGCAATGTTGTGCTAAAAAGAAAGTTCGTTTAAGCACTAATATATATATATATATTTTCATGTTTGTTCGATTTTTTTTTGTGGTTGGCCGATAAATATATATATATAAAGTTCGAGAATGATGGTGGGCTTTTTATTATAAATCTCTCTCGCGTTTATATAATAATAATAAAAAAAATCGAACAAACATGAAAAATGGAAGTATTTTAGAATAGTTTTCTCTCTCCATCTCTAACAATCCTCGAACTCTAGACCTGATAAGAGATTCCAACTTCTTAGCCAAAGAGGACACAAGTAAAGTCCTTTAAAGGGAAGGAAAGAAAAGTTGATAAATAAAAAATACAAAGCGTTTCTCAATTAGAGATTAGAGAACGAGTATTTTGGACAGTTTTCAAGCACGAAGATATAATCATGTTTCTAAATGACAATTATTTCAATTCCTTTAAAAAATAAAAAACTCTAAATAATATCCCTATAATAATATTTATGACTTCTACTAAGTTTCTCTCTTTGTCTCTCCTTCTCTCCAAGAGTTTATTATTCAAAGGTAAGTGTGGTGTTATTCGAATAGTTGGACTGCTCCCCTTATTTGAGCCTTGTACCCTCCCCTCCATTTTAAGTGGCTTTTACCGTTTTTTAGTGATATTCAATTTGCGTTATCAAACACACTTGATTAGATAAATGCTTGATTTTGAAGTTCAAAATTAAGCGCTGAATTGATTTATCAAACAACACCTTATTGTTGTTTGATAAAACTGAAAATTAAAAACTAAAAAACTTAAGAGCTGAATTTTAAGTACGGAAGATTTTAAGTGATAATTAATAAATAAATATTTTTTGATACTTTTTAAAATTTTTAGCATTCAATCATAAGTAATATCCATATCATTTAAAATTTTACTCCATTATGCATTTTGAGTTGTTAAATTGCTACGCTTAGGAATCGTGGACCCTGGTAGCCGCATTTCTGTTGGTTTACGATGATTTGCTGTTCGAATTGGTAAACAATGTCATTATCGCTTCCTTGATTTTTGGCCACTAAAGTAACCCAATATTCTTGATCCCTTTATGTTTAAGTTTATTCCCAATAAATTCAGTAGTTAGGAGAAAAGTTGTTTAATTTTCGTAGAAATTCAGATGGACGTAATAATATTATTTCACTTATGTAATAATTTTACATAATTTATGCAATAATTATCTTAAATTATTTACGCAATAACTTTACATATATGATTCATAAGCATAATAGATGATCTTAATTCTTGTCATAAAACCTATGAAAATTTGGTGTTCGTAAATGTTAGAATTATTACTAAAATTTGTATTCCAATTTCTTAAATTTTTTTTATATAGAGCTTATAAGGCAATGTTGTGCTGAAAAGAAAGTTTTATATATATATATATATATATCGGCCAACCACAAATAGTCATGCAATTAAATTATAGTTAATGATGATATTGTAACGTTGGAGGATGATGGTGGGGCTTTATATTATAGATAGATAATCAACTCTATATTAGTATTATAATCATTACTGTTGTGGTGTTTATATATAGAATTATAAATGAATCTTTTAATGAAAATATCTTAGTTAAGGTAATTTTGAAGTCACTAAAGAGTGATCATTATTGTTGTGGTGTTTATATAACGAATTGTAATTCTTAAGAATTTTAATTTAGTATTTATTTTTTGTTAGTGAAATCAAATCCTGCTTTTCATTAGGACTCATGAGTGAAAGATTTAGAAGCAATTTAAAAATTAAACAAACAAGATTAGAACTCATGAGTGAAAGATTTAGAAGCAATTTAAAAATTAAACAAACAAGAAAAATGGAGGTATTTTAGAATACCTCTTTTTTCTCTGTACTCCCTTCTTCCCTACCAATCCTCGAACTCTAGACCTCAAGGTTGGTCTCATCACAGATACCAACTTCTCAGCCAAAGAGGAGACAAGAGGACCGGTGCTTTACACCCTTTCTGTAAATTCCTTTAAAGGAAAGTAAAGAAAAGAAAAGTTTATAAAGAAAAAAAAAACACCAGTTTCTCAATTAGGTCAGAGAACGAGTATTTCAATCTTTCACTCATGAGTTCAATTCCTAAATGACAATTATTTCAATTCCTTTAAAAATAAAAAATAAAAAACTCTAAATATATAATAATATTTATGACTTCTACTAAGTTTCTCTCTCTTTCTCTCTCAAAGAGTTTATCGTTCAAATGCAAGTGTCGTGTTGCTCGAATAATTGGGTTACTCTCATATTTTAGCCTTGCACATTCCCCTCTATTTTAAGTGGCGCTTACCATTTTCAGTGATATTCAATTTGCGTTGTCAACCACATTTAATTGGATAAATGTTTAATTCGTTCAAAATTAAGCGCTGAATTGAGTTATCAAATAACACCTTCGCTGTTGTTTGATAAAACTGAAAATTAAATACTCAAAAATTTAATAACTGAATTTTAAGTGCTGAAGATTTTAAGTGATAATTAATAAATAAATATTTTTTCGAAATTTTTAACATTCAATTATAAGTGATGTACATGTCACTTAAAATTTAGTTTATTTTAAGTGGTGTTATATTAAAATTATGTTATCAACGTACTTAATTGAATAAGTGTTGAATCCAGTACTAATCAAATAACATCTTAGTCTTTGCTTGACATAAAGGGTATTGACATGTTAGTTCATGTACAAATGGAGTTGTATAATACTTGTTTTACTCTTTTAGAAAATCGTTTTCCACACTTCACTCTAAAAATGTGTTTTGGCTCCAGAATTTTTTTTCTCTTTAACACCTTTTAAATCACAACCCACCATTCGGGGGTGATAGTAAACCACTTTCATCCTGAAGATCAGCACAACTTGCTACAGATTCGAATCATATGAACTATTACTCATTGAAGGTGCTCATGAATCTACCATCGAAACCACCTTCATTACAATTCCCATATAAAATTCTCCTTTCTACCTTTGCAATGAAAAATAAAAACAAAAAATCATTATACATTTAAGATGAAGAAAGAATTTTTTTTTTCTTTTTTTTTTTTTTTTTTTTTTTTTTAAAAAAAAACCTTATTTCAAAACCCTAAATTGGTCGAAACCTATTCCATCAGATTTTACAAGAAAAAATAAAAATAAAAAAAATAATGACAAAGGTAAAATCAATATAATCATACTCAAATCAAATATAAGAGAGAATTAAAAATTCTTTTAAATCAAAACCTCAAAAAATAAACCAATAAAAAACATTCTTACAAATTGAAATCTCCAAAAATAAACCAAAAGAAAAACACTCGATTATAAAACACTTTGAAAAGTTCATCTCTTGAACAAAGTAAAACAATGCAATTGGAGTAAAGAAATGTTGGGCTAAAGAAACATTACCGCTACTACAATTTAACTGCAAAGGCAGCAACAGAAACAGGGCAAGGGAGAGAGTGACATAGTGAAAAGAAGAATTACACAACTATCCGTCGGAGGAAGATGGATCACCCATGACAGAGCTAGGAAATCTCCAAGCAACATCAATCAATCGATGGAAAGTCTTAGAAAAGGTACGGTTGTTCCTTTCCTTCCAAGTAGCTTCAAGCAAGGGGTATTTCTTAGAAAAGGTATGACTGTTCCTTTCCTTCCAAACATAATAGATACATCAGGTAA